GAAGGTCTGGTGGTCCCTCTCAGTCACCAACAAAACAAAGGGGAGGCCACCATGAGCTCTGACCATCTGCCCAGCACCACCCTGCACCCCTGCTCTGGGCAAACTTCCAAAGGCCTGGGAGGTTTTCTGTGTGTGGAGGTGGTGAGAGGCCAGCAAAAACTGTTCCCTCAGCCCCCTCCCTGCCTGTCTTTCTGGGGGCGCCACTGCAGACAGAGGAGACACCACGTGTTCTGTGGGGGACAGAGTCACAGGGAGGGGACGTCCATATCCATATGCACTGCTTGGGCTCCCATAGTGGCTGGAAGGAAGCTACACTTTGAGGGGAACCACGCCTTTTGGACACGGTCAGGTTCTAAGATCTAAGGAGATGTGGGGAGAACCCTTGCTTCCATTTCTTCCCCCTTGGGGCGGGGGTGGGGAGACAAGCCTCCCATGAGTGTCATAAAGCCCGCTGTGCCCATCTCCATGAGCATCCAGGGTCTTCTTTGCATCTGCCCTCGCCAGGTAGCCCCCCTCCTTTCCCACGGCGTTAGCTGTTGCCTCTGGAGGAGCCTCAGGTTGCTGGAGAGGAGACAGGCTGGGAGAGGGCTGGGAACAGCTGGGAGGTGAACACTAAGTGAGAGCAAGATGGGCTTTAGGGCTGCTGACTCCGACTGCACATCTGATTGATCAGCTTCTTTTGATAAGTGAACATAACAAAAATTCTGCTTCCCCATTGGATGGCATCCAGAAAGCTGATTTCAAGTGAAAATTCTTGCCCCAAATGTCAGTTTTCATCTGTAAGCTAACCCCCGAGGGCCTAGGCTTTGTATCCAGATTGGGCAGCCAGAAACTGGCTCCTGCACCCCATGACCCCCCGGGCCCTCCCGCCCCCCCCAGACTCTGGGGCTCTGAGGACCTCTCACTCACCCAGCAGTGAACTCCTGACTGAGGCGAACCTTCTTACCTTGGCTGGTCCTGTCTCCTCAGGGGTATTGAGTGTCTACCACCTCCCGCAGTAATGGGGGTGAGAGGAGGAGGAGGTGGAGAGCAGGCACTTGGCGCCCTCACTGTTTAGACATGCGGGGAGACAGATGGAGCGCGGGGACTGGGAGTGTATACACAGCCTTGCCTCTGTATATGTCTGAAGAGCTCGCTGATAAAACCCAGCGGGCAGGGCCAGCTCCCACCTTCCCCTCCACATCGTGCCTGCTGCTGGTCTGGCATCCTGAGCCCCACCCTGCCCAGGGCTCCTGCCTACATACACTCCAGGCCCAGCTGGGAGCCACATGCTGGCTGGGAGAGGAGGCCTCCTGCTGGTCTCTGCCTCATTTCTGGGTCAGTGAGACCCAGGGAGCTGAGAAAGGGACAGAGAAGAGAAACAGCTGAGGTGACCACGCCTGTGAATTATAAAATCCTGTTGCTTGGAATGACCCTAGAGGTTGTCCTGTCCTTTGGTTACACTGCCAAGGGGGAGTGAGGAAAGAGCAGGGAAGTGCCTGTTCAGAGTCACAGTGTGTGCTGTGACAAGGATCTAAAACTCCCGACGCCTGGCTGAGCATTCTTGCCAGCCACAGTCCCTTGTGGAAGAACACGTCAGTACAAGACTTGACATAAGCAGATGAATGCAAACCCGATGTGGACCACAGGCCTGCGTCCTCTGTGAGTCTTGGCTAAGCCAGAGAAATCTTGTCCTGAACCTGCCAGGCCCAGCTTGACTTCCACTACAGACACTGCTGCGCTGAGTGAGCAGCAGAGGGCAGCGAGGAGGGTGGCAGGGACCATAACTGCACACTTGGGTCTGTCCACATGCCTGTCTGTGCTCATCGAGGCCTTGGGAGGTAGAGGACAACTCCTGAAGGAAGCCAGGGTCCCGCCGGGGATGCCCTGGCCTGGGCTGCCAGAACTGTGTTGTCATGGGGACTAGAAAGGCAAAAGGGGAGGCCAATGGGGGAGCCAGTCACAGAGTGTGTGGGGGGAAGTGACGTAGGCCTTTCTATCTCAGAAAGAAGTACCTCGAGCTTCCCCCTCCCTCCCTTCCCCCGCCCCAGGGATGGCAGGGCCTTCCTAAGTCATTGCAGTGCAACTCTGTAGGCTCCCAAGGCAACACATCCCTACTCCCTCGTCACTGTGTTCTCCTGTGTTTGGGGAAGTGAAGATGACATACGGACTCCAAGTTGCAGAGTCTGGCTACTCCCTTGACACCTCCGCTGGGATGGCTCCTAGCCATCCCAAACTCAGCTGCCAGTCATCTGCCCAGCCAGTGACTGCAGGGAACAAACCCATTACCTAGAGGGTATCTTTGGTTCTCTTCCTCCTTTATTTTCCCCAGCTGTCCGTCACCAAGGGCTGCCTTTCTACCTCTGCACGAGTCTCTATCCATGTCTCACTCCTGCCTCCCCAAGTCCTGGTCGCATGGTCTCTTCTGTGCATGACTATCATACCCTCCTCACTGGTCTCTCTGCCCTCACTCTTGCCTTCATCTCTAACCATTTCTCATCATAGCTGCCAAAGTGGTTTTTATTTATTTTTAATTTTTAGTTAATCCTCACCCAAGGATATTTTCCCACTGATTTTTAGAGAGAGTGGAAGGGAGGGGGGGAGAAACACATCGATGTGAGAGAGACACATTGATTGGTTGCCTCCCACACTTGCTGACCAGGGCAGGGATCAAGCCTGCAACCAAGATACATGCTCTTGACCAAAATCAAACCCAGGACCCTTCAGTCCAGAGGTTGGCACTCTATCCACTGAGCCAAACTGGCTAGGGCCAAACTGGATTTTAGAATATTGATCAATCATTTCCATTATCAAAATCCACCCATGGCTTCCATTTGCACTCAGAATAGAGTCCCTCAACTTTTCCCAGGTCCAATCTGGGCCTTCCCACCTCTCCTGCTTCATGTCCTGTTCCTCTCTTGCAGTATATGCAGACTACACTGGCTTAGTCCAACTCCTCTAACAAGCCAGGTGCCTTCCTGTCCAGGACTTTCAAAATATTAGATCTCATCTCTGGTCAACTAAGTGTGAAGACCTGAGGCTTGCCAATGGCCATATGAGTGAGTTTATATGTGGATCCTGACCCCCTGATCCCCACCCCAAACACCCAGGTTGAGCCCAGAGGCCCTAATTGAAGTTTTGTGAGGGGCTCTGAGCTGCAGAAATCAGCTAAGCTACGTCTGAACTATAAAAATCGAAAGATAATAAATGCAGTTTTAAGTCACACACACACACACACACACACACTCACACACACACACACATCAGTATCTCAGAGAGGCTGCTCAGGCTCCTCCTCACTTTCTTGTAGCTTTGTATATCTGTACTTGTAGTGCTCATTCTAACATAATTAAAGGACTAGTTGTGCAATTACTAGCTGTTTAAAGCTTAGCCCCTTCCCTCCACTAGAATGTAATCTCCCTTTGGGCAGGGGCCCTGTCTATCTCATTTACCACTGAACCTTGGCTGATGAGGACGTAGCTGTTCTGTAGATCAAAACATTGTTTCCTATTAAATGCAAATATTCCTGGGAGGTCATCAGGGAAAAGAAAATCAAAACCACAGTGAGATAGCACTTCACCCTCACTTGGATGGCTACAATAAAAGAGATGGATAATAATAAGTGGTGGTGAAGACGAGGAGAAATTCAAACCGTCATGCATTGCTGGTGGGAATACAAAGTGGTACTGCCACTTTGGAGCACAGTCTGGTGGTTCCTCAAAAAAATTAAACAGCGGGTTATCATGTGGCCCAGAAATTCTACTTCTAGGTATATACCCAGGAGAACTAAAAATATATGTCCTCACAGAGATTTATACACAAAGGATATAGCAGCACTATTCATATAGCCCAAATGTGAAAACAAACTTGAATGACCCAACAACTCACTGATGGATAAACAAAATGTGATATATCCATACCATGAAACATTATTCAGCCATAAAATGTAAAGTACTGATAAGTGCTACAATGTGGATGAACCTTAAAAACATATCAAGTGGAAGAAACTAGTCATGAAAGGTTGCATAGTGTATGATCCTATTTATATAAAACATCCAGAATAGGTAAATCTATAGAGGCACACAGCAGAATAGTGGTTGCCAGGCACTAAGAAGAGGGGTAAATGGGGAGTGACTGCTAATGAGTACTTGGTATTTTTTTGAGGTGATGAAAATGTTTTGGAATTAGTGGTGATGGTTTTACAATTTTGTGAATATAGGAAAACCCACTGAATTGTATGCTTTAGAAAGGGTGAATTTTATAGCATGTCAATTAGACCTAAAAATTTTGATTTAGAAAAATGCCTGGGCACATTAGCCATTAGTTTCTTGGTGTAAGTTTACCGGGTCCCTGAGGAGAGAATGGGTCAGGAGGGGGCAGATGCTATGGATGCTCTTCCTGCTGCAGCTGTGGCAGCTGTTTCTCCCTCCCTCACGGAGAAACCTCTTCATCCCTCAAGGCTCCCTCCCACTTACCCAGAATGCCCCCTTTCCCATTGATAAAGTTGCCAAAGTTGCCTATCCTTCCTGTTTGGTATGTTAGGACAGGCAGACACTGAGTTCAGGTTTTAGCTTCCTGCTATTTAAGGAACTTTGTCAGAAGCCCAGACTGCTTCCCCAGAGCTCAAAACAGGGTCTTGCTGAGTAAGGCCTTGCTGAATGTGTGAAAGTGCATGCGTGTGTGTGCCTGCATGAGTCAGAGTGCATGCGTGATTAAAGTTAGCCTTTTTAAGCCTCCAGGTAATGGACAGGCCCAGAAGCCTCTCCGGGGTTTCCGTGGTCTTGTGACACCCAGGCCAAACCTGCCTGCCATCTGGGTGAAGGATAGGCAAGTTTGACATCTGGGACTAGTACAGTCACCTGGGACATTCCCAAATTCTCTTTCACCTGGGGGTGAGGCAGCTGGCTTCTCTAATTCAGAAGTGGATTGGACCAAGCTGATGGTTTTTGTTAAAAGCACCACAAACTCCTTGTCTCTTCCTCCTTATCCCAGCCAACTCAGAAACGTGCCTCTTATGAGCTGGCAGAGCTGTGACTGCAAGAAGGGTGCTCTGTGATTTGGGGAAGGAGCATCGAGGGCCGCTGGAACAGAGCTACAGTAGCAAAGAGCCACCATGATGCTCCTTGAGCAACCACTGCTCCTTGCCAGCCCTCACATCCCCTCTTCTGGCCTCCCCACTCCAGTAGCCCTGGCTTCCCTGGGGCCCGGGCGGGCCAATCCTACCCACCTTGGGATGAGTCAGAGGTGGGCAGGCACAGAGGCCCGTTACCCGCCCTCCCCCTTCCCCAGGGTGTGGTTGCTTCTAGGTTCCACAGGAAAACAGGGAGCCTGGGCGTCTCTGCTTGGGAAAACGTCCCAGCAGGGGCCTCCGGTCCCCTTCAATGACCCCATTCACCTCCTCACATCAAGAATAGGATCTTTCCTGCCCTGGACTGAACAGAGCAACAGAAGAGGTGGTGTGTGCGTGTGTGTCACACACAGGTGGTGGCGGCGGTGGCGGCGGTGGCGGCGGTGTCTCAGTGCATAGGATGTCAGCCTCAATATCAAACTCAGAATCCCAGAAGTTTCTCCATGAGCAAAGGGGCAGGGGCTTAGAGATCATCTAGCTGAGCCTCAAATGGGAAACCCTACGACTAGGGAGGTAGAGTAACTCATCCTGGGTTGCGCCTTAGAGCTGGGATGAGACCAAAGCTCTGAATTCTTTCCGCCACTCTGCCCTGCTGCTCTCTGGCCAGGCTGCAAGGACAGAGGCAAGAAGCCACGTGGGAAGTCCTCAGAGCGCAGCCTAAAGCTCCACTGTCCGGTTCCCTAATGATCAGACATGGGCTGCTGAGGAACGTCAGGAGTTTGCATGTGGGGGGAGTTGCAGCTCATCTGAGGGATCTCTCAACAGTCCTGAGCCTTAGGTCCACAGCCTTGTGCAGGAGAGACGGCACCCCTGTGGTTTTCGCATGGCAGCCCTTTCCTCCTCCTCTGTTAACAGCACACCTCTACGAAGTGCCTGCCCCTCCCCCCGTAGTTCTAGCAGGGCACACTCATAGTACTTTGCCTTTCAGTACCCCCTCTACCCACTCACAGGCCTGGTAATCATACAATCACACAGGTGGCACCTCACCCTCCTAGGCACGGTGACTGGGCTAAGCCGGCACATCACCTGAGCAGGGAGCCATCGGAACCCACCTGTGTGATTGTATGAATGGACACAGAGACAGACTATCCCTTTTCCCTGGGTGGCGAGCTGGGTTGATATAAACCTGGAGCTGTCTGAGGCCAGGGCCTCCTCTTCCCCGTCCATTCCCAAGACAAGGGGAAACCTGCTTTCCAATAGGAGAAAATGAGGCTAACATGGTGGGAGAGAGCATCCTGCCCCAGGTCTGAGTTCTTGTCATGTCCGGGGCCTGTTCTACCTCTGGCCATCTCAGTTTTATAAACCAATAAATTTCTTCACGTAGTTTTAAGTTAGGTTGGTTCTTCTCAGCTCTAACGAAGAAAGCCTTGAATGAAGAAATAGGAAATCTAAA